GAGTGTCTTCTACTCTTAAAGGCCATGTTTCGCTGCCGTAAAGTAAAACAGAACGGACTGCCGCACAGTATACTCGTCCTTTTATTGATAGACGGATATCTCGCCTTCGCCATAGGTGACGCAAGTTGGCAAAAGCCAAACGAGCTTTTCGAATCCGTGCTGAGATTTCGTCAGACATCAACCCATTAGGGCTGATCAGACTTCCAAGATATGTGAAGTTGTCAACGCGTTGTTACTACCTTGACGTGGTGGTCGGGCTTGCCTATCGTGATGAAGCAACCGAGCTATACTGGCTGGAACAACCGTTCCTCAAGGTCCTACCATGTCAGACAGGTCGGTTGAAGAGCGGTAAGACTAAAAGCAACAAACCCAAGGTCCGAAGGCGAAGTCGTACTGCTGACTGTACAGAGGTGTGACAGCAGTAAGGTGTTTCCTTCAGACAACCAGCATGACAGCGATGCTGCCTTCCCACAAGGAGGGGTGGGGTTAGAAAAGGTCGACCCTAAAAATGCACACCTCACCTTACCTCACGGATTTCCGTCTCCGGCGGTAAGGCCCTTTGAAGAACGGAGCTAACACATAAAAACCTTCCACGAAAAGGCCGTGCGCGACCGGCCTCAAGCAGTTGTCCCTTGGGCACTGCGGTCACGCTCTCAGGTCACTAAGACCACCTCTAATCCAATTTCCTTTTCAGGTACCTCCAGAAGAACCCTTCCACGGTGTGGGCAACCGGGAAGTGATAACCGCCCTCATACCTCTAACAGCACTCAAGACCACTGTATTCATAATCAACCTTCCTCTTCAATTCCTATTATTCCTCCTACATCGACTTTCAACTCTAAACTTCCTCTTTCGGCTTCCTCCTCAAGTGTCACCATAGCCAACGATTCTAGTGCTCAAAACTCTGTCCCAGGTCTACTGAAACCTCGCTCCAAACTACACATTGGAGCCTTCAACGTACGCACCCTATGTCAAATCGGTCAGCAGGCTTCCTTGGCTAAAACCCTAGAGTCTCTTTCCATTGATGTATGCTGTGTCTCCGAAACACGCATACAGGATTCCAGTGTGGTCATTCACTTGACCTCACCTCGGCAAAACGGAGAGCCAACGAGATACACCCTCGTGTATCTGGTGACCCGATGGCCAGTTCTCGTGGACTGGCAGGTGTAGGCATAGCACTAAGCATGAGGGCGGAACAAGCACTGCTAGAGTGGATCCCCGTCAACAGTCGTCTATGTGCTGTTCGGCTGAACGGCTCCGTAAGAACTCGGAAGGATAGGGACACACGTCGTTGCCTTTTCGTCGTTTCTGCCTACGCTCCCACTGACTGCAGCTCAGATGATGTGAAAGATGAATTTTACAGAAAGCTTCTGAACTTCTTCAGAAAGCTAAACGCTCAGACATAGTACTCGTAGGGGTGACTTTAATGCTCAGATAGGTAGCTTAAACCAAACAGAAAGGCATTTAGGTGGATATTTTAGCATTCCGGCACAGCGAACAGATAATGGTGATCGTCTGCTGCAACTGTGCTCAGACAATCGTTTATTTTTAGCAAACACAAATTTTAAGCATAAGGAGAGACATCGTCTAACATGGCGACCCCCTACACCAAACCAACGATGGACTCAAATAGACCATATTGCCATCAGTCATCGTTGGAGAGGGTCGGTAGAAGATTGTCGCTCATTCTGGAGTACCTGCTTGGACTCCGACCATGCCCTAATACGGGCACGCATCTGCTTGCGCCTCACTGGACGCAAAAAAGCCACATTAAAAAGACCCATTAGAACTGAGTTGAGTAACGAGAAAACCAAAAGTAGGTTCCAGGAACAACTGAGGTCACACTTAGGTAGTTCTGAAGACGAGGCTGACCCAGATGTTGCTTGGAAGACATACAAGCAGCTGTGGAAACAGCAGTGACATCTATTAGCGACTTAAACCACAGAGTTACAAAGAACCAGTGGATTTCTTCAAAGTCTATCACACTGATGGATTCTCGCAAACTCGTCCCATCAGGTTCCGAACATGATGAAGAGCGACAACAAATCAGATCTAGGTTAAGAAAAAGTCTAAGGAACGACCGTGAGCAGTGGTGGGCAACGAAAGCAAAAGAGATGGAAAAGGCGGCGACTATAGGGAACACAAGACAGCTTTACAGACTAATAAAAGAAACTGGAATTAATAAGTCAAGTGTAAGTGAGATTATTTCGGAAAAAGACGATACTCTCATCTGCTCCCAGTCCAGACGTTTAGAACGATGGGCGGAACATTTCAGCGAACAAGGTTTGATTTGATAATTTCGAATAAATTGAGCATTGGGTTGATTGTTATGAATAAAAATAATATATTTGTAATATAATAGCGACTATTTAAACTTGGATTAATTTTCATTTGGTTATTTATTCTCTGAAGAAGTGACCTACACTAAGTCACGAAACGTCAAAAAATCCAATTTCCTACTCATTGGGATATTACAAATATATTATTTTTATTTATTTCAGAGAACAGTTCAACTGGCCTTCAGCTACTCTATAACTACCCTCCATTCCCAGACAGCGTGAATGGAACATTGAAGTAGGTCCCCCAACTCTTGCTGAAGTTCAAAAGGCTATAGTTAATCTGAAGCGAGGAAGGGCAGCTGGTCCAGATGTACTGGCTCCAGAGGTCTTTAAGGATGGTGGTCCAATTTTAGCGATTAGGTTGACTAATATTTTAGCTAAGATCTGGGAGTTAGACGTTATCCCATCTAACTGGTCACAATCACTGATCGTCCCAATATATAAGAGAGGGTCAAAATCATCCTGTGACAACCACAGAGGGATTAGTTTAACTAGTATAATATCTAAAATACTAGCCTCGATAATTATCAGACGCCTAACTAAGACTCGTGAACTGCAAACACGAGAGAATCAAGCTGGCTTAAGACCTGGTCGTGGCTGCATCGACCACATATTCACCATTCGTCAGATTCTAGGACACAGGCATACTTATCGGCGTCCGTTAATGATGGTCTTTCTCGACTTAAAAGCAGCATTTGACTCGGTAGACCGCGAGATTCTGTGGCAGTGTCTGTCATTGAAAGGCGTACACCAGAAGTACATAAACCTTGTGAAGGCTCTTTACTCGAACACTACTAGTCGAGTCAGAGCTTATGGCGAACTGTTATCTACTTTTGCAACCTCAAGTGGTGTCCGTCAAGGCTGTCCACTTTCCCCATTTTTGTTTAACTTCATCATAGATCTACTGATGGAAATAACTTTCTCGTCGACTGAGTTCTCGGGTATTGATCTCCATCCAGGAGGTCCACTTATCGACTTAGAATACGCAGATGACATAGTCCTGTTTGGTGAAGACGCTGACAAAATGCAGAGTCTTCTGGTAGCACTGAGCAACAATGCCTGGATGTTTGGAATGCGCTTCTCTCCCTCTAAATGCAAGTTGTTGCTTCAGGACTGGTCTGCGTTAACACCTGAACTAAGGATAGGGAATGAAGTAGTGGAACGCGTTGACAACTTCACATATCTTGGAAGTCTGATCAGCCCTAATGGGTTGATGTCTGACGAAATCTCAGCACGGATTCGAAAAGCTCGTTTGGCTTTTGCCAACTTGCGTCACCTATGGCGAAGGCGAGATATCCGTCTATCAATAAAAGGACGAGTATACTGTGCGGCAGTCCGTTCTGTTTTACTTTACGGCAGCGAAACATGGCCTTTAAGAGTAGAAGACACTCGTAAGCTATTAGTATTTGACCACAGATGCCTTAGAAATATTGCTGGCGTCTGCTGGGATCACCGGGTAAGTAATAGTGAGGTTAGACGCAGGGTATTAGGAAATGATGGTAAATCAGTTGATGAGGTTATGAATCTTCATCGACTGAGATGGTTGGGCCACGTGTTACGTATGCCTGAACACCGATTACCACGACGTGGAATGCTATCCGGTATTGGAGATGGTTGGAAGAAAGTTAGGGGCGGCCAAACCAAAACGTGGCATCAGTGCTTGAAGTCACTAACTTGTAGTCTGAGCCATGTTAGTAGATGCAGACTACTTGGTTGGAGTCCGCGTGACTATCGTAACCGATGGTTTGAGACTCTTGGTGACATGGCTCAGAATCTATCACAATGGCGTCGGTGTATACACTCTATGTCTTTCCTTAAACTAAGAGATCAAAATCGGCTCATATATTTCTTTCTATGAACTAATTCTTTCTTCCTGTACTATATCCTCATTGCAATCTTTCTTTTATATATTACCACCTTTGACCTAACCACTGCTATGAATCCGGTGTTCATCTTGTTGTGCTGATGCGGTATGGCAACCTGGACCGATGCACATATGTGCCTGGTCCTACGTTGTAGCTGACTGACTGACTGAAAGTAATATCACTGTGTTCACTTCAAACCTCGATACTGACTGAAGCATTATTACGTTGAGAAAAACGGGGCTGAGATATATTATCCGAGTATCAGTTTGTTGGAGGTTCAACCGAGTTATGTGAACAACCAATGGATCTTCAATGTACTAAAAATCCGTGATATCACTCAAAATTAACAACAGATAAACTGACTAATCATCGTCTGAACTTTGAAAATTTAATTACCCTTCAATTATTTTACCTTAAAAACTAGCTTGTTCATCCCAACCGCTTACCATGTTTAGTGAATAGTTTTCGGTCAACCTATAGTTTTTTGATTGAATTTATGAGTGATTGTACATTAACGCTTATCCAATACTAAATTTATGAACAAACCTCCCCACGACCACCACCACATCGAATCAACCATTCACTGGCATTACAATTTGTAAAAAAAAAGAAATAATTTTACTACTGAAATTAAAATTACAAGAAATTATTTTAAAAATCTATGGAGATAAGAAAGCCATTTTAAAAATATTTCTAAATTCAATATTACAAAGAGTTAATGTAAATACGTTAAATAAGAAAATATAATAAAATAAATTTTACTAAATCACAGACTTTAAAAAAAACCCATCATTTTTCAGCATCGTTCACGTAACTCTCTTAGTTTTGCTTTACGTTCACGTAAAGCAAGTTTTAATGCTTCCTTTTTTTCATTTGAATCCCAACCACAAGCTATAGATGTTGTAGTACCATTACATTCTTCGGTAGTTAGTTCTGAGTTTAATGAACAAGCAGTATGTTTTCCAATTGGACGATGTACAAGACAATAAGCACGTTTACATTTTGGACATTTACTATTCGATAAAGATAGGCCATCACTATCAGCTAATAATTTACATTTAGATTCTGTGCATAAACGTTGCATAAGTTTTATCATTGCTTCTACATCATTAGGATGAACTTCACCGAGTTTAGCTGATGCGGTTTTTGCTTTTATCGTTGGATTATTGATATCTAGTGTTAACTTTTTCTACAATCAAGATTAAAATGAAATAAGAGAAAAAAATATTATACCTAATTCATCTATTATTTTAAGCTTAATTTGTACAAAGGATACATATTCAAAACTCACTTTAGATAAAAATCTGAATGAAATTGATGATAAATATATCATAATTTCTATAATTTTTAAACATACGTTGAGTTGATTTATTTTATTAAAACAAAACTTGGTACCTAATAATTTCAAGCACAATACAAATATAGCATATCAATATTTCTAAGTATATTGTATTTGAGTATAGCTTTTATCACGTTTTTATGACGTTCTGGAAACAGCTCTGATGTATGTATGTAATGATGATGTGGATCTGTTACTTGGAGAAAGACTTTTCGACTTTGAGCATATGGATGATATAGTCTTACTATCCGATGATACCCAAGCCATGTAATCCATACTTAAGCAGTTGGCAATCTGTGTCTGTAGGTATGAGATATGCTTTGCACCTTTTACTTTTACAAAACTGGTAGGACCCTGTAACTACATTCGCTCTTAGTAGTGGGCAGTTAGAAGTAGTTGAGAAGTTCGTGTATTTGGGGGTATCTGTGTAAGTCCTGGTGGTAACATGATTGATGAAACCAATCCACGTCAAAGTGGCTTATGTCAGTATGGGCCATCTTTGGCGCCTTCGTTAGTCTGTCTGTAAAAGGTTGGATCTACAATGCGTCGGTGAGAGCAGTTTTACTCTATGCTTGTAGAACCTGGCCTCTCTAACTTGAGGATGTCAACCGACTCTCTGTGTTTGGCCGTCGTTGTCTCCGAATGACATGACATTCACTGGCAACACCATGTTAGTGGTGAAGAGGTTCGGCAAAGTGTGTTCCAGCACGGCGATGATAATTTAACTGATGTCACCATCTTGGAAAACCGACTTTGGTGGCTTGGATATGCACTACGAGTGTCATCCCAGCAAATTCCACATCGTGTATTATTTGTCGGCACTGGGACTGACTCATAAAAGTAGAGAGATTAGCACTATGTGACATAGTGTCGTGTTATGAAAGAAGACTTGACAGAACTAGCATCTGTTGGTCCTTCACGAATCCCCGGTAGGGGTCCTAAAGGTGGTGTAACATAGTGTCTCGAGATGTTATCAGAATGGGGTCAGAATAGAATCCAGTGGCGATTCTGTTATAAATTACTTTCTTCATATGAGTGAGAGGAGCTTCTTTGACTGAAAGATTTCTTTCTGGTTGTATTTTTCTTGACTGGACTGCTTCCCCAATTTTTTTTCACTTTCAGACATTAATTTCTATTCATTTTTGTTCCCTTTTTGTTGTACTCACTTTTTTTTCTCCATCTCTTCACAATCTTATTTTTATTGTGTGCCACACATATATTTTGATGCCCCTTTGTGCCAATGTTCATGTGTTTAGGTAAATGAGTAAATAAATATAGTCGATTCGGGGAAGTTTAATAAAGTTGAATTCTTTTGTTTTTCGATTATTTTGAGAAATTTCGAAATACCGACATTATATCCAATGTCGAGCAATCAAGCAGAAAACACAGACAAACTCCTAACTAATCCATTCACTCACATCAATGTGTCCAAAGTGAAGATCGCCATATTATATAAACTGATTTCTTGCCAAATTTGTCATAGTACGATCATTAAAATGAACACAGAATTCTGTTTACACAGTTAACATATGTTAACATTCATAGTTAACTATCACACTGTGTGTTCAATAGTTCATGTGTTTTATTTCAAAATCATTTTCTGGCTTCCACATTTTGATGGCTTTTTCAGTGTACAATTTGAATAATAAACTCCAGGAATAAAATTATCCATTAGTACAGTGTACAAGGTAGTTTGTACACCTTTCCATGGTGTAGTAATTAACGTTCAAATTAAAGATTGTATAATATTCTCAAATGACGAAGATAATCAATTTTGTGATGAAATGAAGAAAGTCATCAAGTTAAGCGATCATTTGATTATATATTTTCGTAGTAGTAGTGAAAAGCTGATATTTGTGCTCATTTTAATAAAAGCGCTTATATGTATGATTATGCATAGACGTTATCAGGCATGGCTCAGAATAGAAGCCAGTGGGAGTTCTGCTGTAACCTTATTTTACTTTCTTCATATAAGTGAGAGTAACTTCGTTAACTGTAAAAATTCTTTCTAGTCGTATTTTCCGTAGCTGAACTACTTCTGTTATTATTGTCATTATTTCTAACTCTCGTACACCAACTCAATTTTGTTCCTTTTTTATTATGCTCACGTTCCATTCTCTATCTAGTCACAATCTCATTTTTATTGTGTGGCACAAATATATTTTGATGTACCATTGTTTGCGTCTAACTAACTGTTTAAGTACAAATGATGCTGGATAATTCTTCTGAATGTCTAACAATTAAAACCTGTTAAATGATGATAATATCAGAATAAAGTCAAATGGACAATAACTAACATCCTGTTTCTAAACTAAAAATCGTCTCTACCATCCCAAAAGCGTTTGGGCTGAATACATATTCGTGTTAAAAAAACAGTGAACTTTCGTTTCTTGTGCTAAGTTGGATGTGACTCATTTATTACGTACATATTAATTTATTCAGATAAGAGCTACATTTTTAGAGGGTAGATTAGTGATACTTTCTAGATCGAAAGAGATAGAGTGGCGTTCAAACTTAAAATTAAATGGTTGATTGTTTTTGACTCGAAGGTCACTACACCCATTTTTGTTCCTATGTATGTTTTAGTTATGGAAATGTGTTCAAAGTATTACGGAAGAGACAGTAAACAAATGTATCAGAAGATAATAGATTTTAAAACAAAATAAAGATACAATTAATACTTCTAGAGATGCACACAAAATATGAACTCATGTAAAAAGTGGTTTTGTATACATGGGAGCTAAAAAATTTTCAGATTGAATTATTTCTATGAAAACATCAATTAGTGTGTTATTCACATCGAAATAAATAACGTTTCCTGATACAAAGTATAACCGCAGTTAAAATACAAATCGGTTTTTTAGATTGATATCATGAATGGATAAATGTTAGACCACCATTGAAAATCTGGAAGCACTGGATGACCGTCCTGTCCCAGTACGGGACTCCTCGGCAGTGTGCATCAATAACCCCGCATGCGGGACTCGAAGGTTGAGCGTGTGCGCGCGAGACCGAATGTCCTGGGTTCGAATCGCGCATGCACAGTGCTGATGAGTCCTATACTATGACGAAACGGCCATCCAGTGCTTCCTGGCTTTCAATGATGGTCTATCATTTATCCATTCATGATATAAATCTCCACAACCCTATACTGAAAATCTGTTTTTGTAAATTATTGAAAGTTTTTTAGAATTCCACAAAGTTAGGAATAGAGACAATACAAATTCTAAATTGAAAACAGTTACATTCGCTAATTTGTCTATTTCACAATGCTTAAAGACATCAAGAAGAATGTCATCATATGATTAATACATAAAGTGCATATCGAACACACACACACACACACACGGAAAATATGTGACCATAAGTTCTTGAAAAGTTACATCATGAGCGTTAAATCACAAATATAGTCATAATTAAAACGAACAACAATAAAAAGAAAAGATATTATAGCAACTCTCCTACAGTTAATTCCGACTATGGTTAAATTTTGTTAGGCCCTTTTATATTAACTTACTTGACAGACAATGTTATTCGAACAGTAACAACTCGTCTATTTCTTTGTACTATTATGATCACTATCTTGTCTGTATATGCGTGTACACTTGATTACATGACAGCCTACGCACATATCTCTTTCTAGCTTAAATGTTAATCACTTAAATATTGCTCTACGAATCATTCTCTTCCCTATGTATATATGAACTTGAATCCCATTATTAGCCTTTAGCTCGCCTAGCTGCACATTGATTTGATCTGACTATAAATTCGCCTCTGTATTTGCTTGCACACACATATATTCGCCTCTCTGCTTCAAATTCGCTTGATGTGCTTATAACTTTGTTGTCGTGCTATCCATTAATAAAATGAAGTCACCACTTCTTATTAACTTCTGATTTTAAACACCGTTGAGATTTATATAATAACGGTTATCAAGGTGATCAATAGACGAGGCTAAACCACTACAATACCAATGTCAGGATTGGAATTAATAGTTTTAAATAAATAGAGCATTAGGTAGGAAGTTAATGATTAATATACTATTTGTGATGTCCCAATGAATAGGAAAATTGTATTTCTGATGTTTTGTGACATAATGTAAGCCACTTCTTCAGAGTAAATAAATAACCGAAATTAAATGAACACAAGTTTAAATACTGTACAATCTTCTATTTATTGGGATGTCACAAAAAAATATTTATTAAAAAGAAAAGATATTCAAAACAATGTTAGACGAATAACTAACCTCTTGTTTAGTTGAATTTAATTTATCTGATTTTGTATCACGATGATTATGACTTTGACTACGTGAATGAAATATTAATTCATTTTTCTTCTTACTATTATTATGTTGTTGTTCATTCTTCAATGGTGGTAGACCTAAACGTTGACGTTTTTTAGCTTCAATATGTAATTGATGTTGTTTTAATCGAGTTTTAAGTTCAATTTCAATTTGTTTTTGTTGAACACCGGCACGACAAATTGCTTCATGTCCGCATTGACTTATTGGTGGAATATGTTCATTACACCAAGAACAATACCAATAATCTTCTGGTATAGTTTGAATTGAACAATCAATTTTATGAATAATTTTTTTATTTCGTTCAGCTTGTTTTCTACGTTCTCTTTCTTTTCGTATACGTTTAGCACGTTTTCGACCAATCTAAATAAATAAATGCCACTTATATAACATAATGATAAGAGAATATGATATTATGAAAATAGATTTAACAGATTGATATAGTACTATTTGATGATGTAACTAAATTTGTTCTGAAAACATATATCTTGAAAAATTTATAAAAAAAACATTAGTGACAATTTAAGCACATATTCCCTCTTTTAATATTGTCATTTAAACACCTTACAGTAATATCAGTGTGATGAGTCAATTATAAGTAATTGACTGAGTCCTTTGTCTGTAAATATATATTTTCACAATTGAATTTACGAGTTAATCTAAGCTAGATCACCATTGAAAACCTAGAAGCACTGGATGACCGTTTCGTTCTAATATGGTGGTCTAGTTTAGATTGACTTGTGAATTCAACTGTGAAAATACTACAATCTCCACAAATCCTCATACTGAAAATATATATTCATTGTTAATTGAAGAGTAGACATATACAATCGAACTAATAATATTCAACGCCATGTGTATTACTGATACATGAAATTTGTGTAATGATCTAAATCATGCATCTTATTTACAACAAATCTTTCAATAGAGCAGAAAGTAAGGTTGCAACGCAATATGGCGACGGTAACAGGTCTAACTTTATAAAAATATCAATATGAAATATAAACTATGTAAGACACTTAGAAAATTCATGCTTATAGGAACACTACACGGAATGCGGTTCGCCTATAAATCACAAGGACGAGACACATTTGCCTGACTGTTCAAGATAACAATAACCAAAAGTATCTTAATATAAATACAGAGTGGAAAGAAGTCATTTACAATCCTCCATTATAAAAGACTTATAACGTCATGTCTGTATTCCCCTACTAGTTAGTCACAGTTTACATTGCTTGGATCCATTAGAATTGCATGTGAGTTTCAAAAATTATATCGTCCAATTTGTTATATCTATGTATCGGTAGGAAGCTACTATCTTACAAACGATATCTTTGAGTAGTAAGTTGAAGGAAGTTTCGAAGTGGTGAAAAATGTTTGTAAAGCAAAAACTACCTCCAGGATTGGCATTAATCTATGAAGTCCAAAAGTTCCATTGTTTGATCTCATTGGTTCTAATTGAGCCCTATTGCTTATGTTTAGCACTGATTGAATTTGATATTATTTTCTACTTTCTGCATTTTATTTTGTTAGCATCTTTTACAATAAATAGTGCTTATTTCAGGTATATATTTATATGTCAAGCTCCATGTTTTCTATCACTGACTGACTCAGAGATCCACTAGTAAATTTCTAGGACTTGGTGAAAATTAATTATGGCAAATTTCAGCTAGAGAAAAATAGGCTTTTATTCATTTTAAATTAATACAGTCAACAGATGACCAAAAGCTGTCCTAATTGAAATCGATCACTAGCTTAAGTTGATTATTTAACACTGAGTAATATATTTCCTACTCAAATGACAACAGTAATCTTTCTCATTTTATCTCCAACTAAGTACTTTTACTTGTGTAAAAAAAAGTCGGAAAAAAGCTAATTCATTATTTAGTTTTGAACAAATTTAAAAGATTTCAAAATCAGAAATGGACATTCTTGAGAGTGAATTAAACAAGTCTTGAAATTCTTTCAGTTACTTAATAACCTGCTTCGGTTTGGGCACCCGGGCAGTATCACAGCCCTCACACATATCAAATGAGATTTGTGTGGCGCATATGTATTTGGTGCCTCCTTGTACCAATATCTATGTGTTAAAATAAATAAACAAAATAAATTACTTAATAAAATTATTATTTTACGAGGTTTCTACGCTGATAACTAAAACAACAATTCTGTCAGAGTATATTTATATTTCTAGTTGAATAATAATATTTTATCCATGATTCCGAAAGTAAATATGATAAGATTTCGAAAACATTTATGTTATGAAATTTAACACGGAATACTGGCTTACCTCACGTCCTTGTTCATCAAAACTAGCCTGACAACACATTTCTTGATGTCCATTCAAGTTTCCATTACCGGTTTGTAGTTTTTCTAATATTTTTTTTAATAAATGAAAGGAAAACATTACTGAAATGAGGATGAATAAAGACTAGAGATTTATGGATGAATATTTTTATTATTTCGTTTTTAGGAAGTTTATGTTATGTTTTCTGCAAATAACCAACGTCCAAACATTTAAAAACCTCCATTATTGTAAATATCTCATAAAAAACCAAACGCTTTTAAACTGTCAATCAGGACAATCGAAAGCCAGACGATGAGAAAGTGGTTACGGGTATCTTTATTATTCAGACCCGTAATTTAGCTGACTACTTAACGCAATAAAATGTATAAATCTCAACAAGTAGACGACTTAGATATTTCTGAGGAATATGTTTGCAGGAAATCGATCATTACTTTTGAACGACAAACTATATAATAATGATTATTAGGTCAGAAGAAAGCTTACCATTAGGATTACTCCTTAAAATGTGTACACTCACTAAATAATAATTAACCAAGTTTTGTATCTTTTCATTGTTTCTTCCTAACAGGTTGGATGACAGCCATAGACCGAAAAAGCTTATTATAGAAGGATTTAAAGATAGGTTTTTTAAACAATTTTGTGACTAACTAATCAATGTAACACGGTAATCAAATGTAAATCAGCTTGAGCGGTTTTGAGCCACATTTTATACATTTGAGAGATGATGATATTAATCGTTTATCAGAACCGAAATAGACGGAGCAAGGTTTGAACCTCCAATCCAGTGGTAGTAATTTGAGAACATTAATTACTAGGCTACCACTTCACATTTCATAATTAACAAGTTATTCACACTTGACCATCGATATAACAGATTGATCTGGTGATTGAGAACTGAAAATTAATACAACTTAGTTACTAAACTTTGAATCATATCTATTATGAAAGTCAGATGTACTAGAGTTATTTAAAATGAATTAAGTGGGGGTAATATTCAGACGTGACATTAAGACGGAGATTTTTTAAGATGCTGAGCCCCAATTACGTAAAAATGTAGAAAGGTTTCTTTCTTATTCGTGTTTGCTACGAGAGTTACTCATGAAACATTAAAAACTCAGTCAGTAATTAGATACTTGAGTATGAAAGCCAATGATACTACCTGGTTTCCCAAACCGAAGTAGATGGAGAGGAGTTTGAACCTGGGAACTAGTAACTGAAATCTGAACACTCTAACCACTAAAGCTTCTCATAGCAAGAGGTAATAAGAATAATGAAGTTGTTTGGACAATTCTTAGTGAATATTAATAATACCATACAAACTAAAATAATATTAAATAAAACAATATCATTTTCGACGCTTACTGAGTGGGATAAAAAAATTTATTCATGTGTATAGGGTATATGTCACTAGGTAATAATATGAGTTTCATTTTTCACTTCCCGATTTCACCCTTTCATTTTGAATTACGCATCTAAAGCTTGGTTTTTCTAGCACTATTGACATTAGTGATTGTAACTGCTTTGTTTTCGATTTTGTTCAATATTGATATTGGATTATTTTTTCTGGTAAGCGTTTTTTTAGCGAGTTAGTTTTCTACGGGATGGGGACGCTAACCCCATGCCCAACCCTCCTCCTTTATCCGGGCTTGGGACCGGCAGTAACCCTGTTAGAGCTACAGGCGGAGTTTCAATATTGATATAAAGTTCAGAAATTTGGACTGCATACATACACGTGCCAGATTCTGAGGTGCATATGCATGAAATTAAAACTGGCGGATAGACGGAATGCACACATATACTACAGATAATTTTAAACTTCAAGTTCGACAAAACCATTAGACACAATCGGCCTTTATTCGATGCTTAAGTAATAAGGGATGAAATCAAAGAGATTCTTCACATTCGTAATTAGCGTAAAAGATATTCAAATTGAATTAGGATCCAGATATGTGATTAAGAATTCTGGTATCATAACTGATATGTCAATTACTGAATAAAACCCCAACCCTAATTTCCAACCCTATTCTGATATTTATGCCATAAGCTTGAAGAAGTTTTCTCGTTCTCAATTGGCTTAGTTGTATACTTTACGTTAACCAATTGATAATTTAAGTGACATAGAATAAAATAAAATTACCAATTTTAATTTCTTCCTTCTTATCTACCGTTTCTTTGGCCTCCTCTTTTTCTCTTAATTGTTTTTGACGTTGTTTTTCTTTTCGTTCTTCCAGTTCTAACTCTTGTTTCTGCTGTAAAGTGCCACGTTTACGAACAACTAAACATTCATCATGTAATCTATCTTTCCCAACAGACAGTATCAAAAGTTCATATTCAGCTGCAAGCTAAATAAAAGATACCAGTTCACTCTTTAAATATATATATATATTTGTTGGAGATGCTATATCTCCAAATAAAACGTATGACAAAGAGAATCAATCTTAAAATCTACATCCAGCTAAATTTTAATGTATTTTCATTGTATTCATTCAGAGTGAAATATCGCCATTGACTAAGTGAATTCTCGATTGTATCAATTTATTTAGTATGTAATTATTTGATTGTCAACGCGTTCTCTTATTGTATTACTTCATTCACTGTGATTTCGGGCTCAATAAAAACTGTTCAAATTGATAAAATTCTACTAATAATTGTTTAATGACTAATGCATAAATTTGAATAAAATTTATTTAATTTTTCTAGAGTTTTTATCAAAGAAGAGTTTTATACAAAATTGAACTTTTTACTCTAGTTAACAAGGAAAGAGAAAAAGGATAGAAATAGCCTCGTTTATCATATTGAAGTCAGAGTTATGAATAATTACCTTAATGTACAAATATATCATAGATATACATGAAAGAGTTCTATTCTCGAAAATTGGATTTTTAATTCTAAAACACTACTATCTATTGAGATTTAAGCAGTCAGTTGGTATTTATAGACGTCTATCATTGTAATAGAGATATTTTGAGAACAATTTAACATTTAGGAGGAACATTTTAGTGTATAGTTCTGCAAAATATGGTGGTTAAATACAAATTTGGTTATTACAACACAAGTTAATAGTTGGGTAACAAGAAAATTATTTGAATTTTATTCTGCTCATATGTCTATGGAATTTTGATTCTAGTGATATCTTATATTTATTGAAAGTTTTACTTCCTGGTTGATGTTATTGAAGAGAAACTTAAACTGAGTTTCCTAGAAGAATATTAATTAAACTGTTTTGACTGTCCAATAGTAGTGTAACTCATCAAACGCACATAGATTTGACAGACTTTAAGTTACATTGTAGCTGTAAAGACTAGTAACATTATCTATCCACATAAGCTGAAATAAGTAGTGAGAACCGAACATGTGACCTATTTGTCGGAAGTCAAGTATTTGGACTAAAAAGGAAATGATCAATTCTAGACACTTTAGATGATGTTAACGTAACATCTTAGATGAATTTGAGTGCGATTCTAAGGCAGTGTTACAAGAAACTAGTACAGAATCTCAAAGTACCATTCATCTAAATGATGGTACGTGATAACTAGAAGTAACAAAAACTAGTTAAATTAACCCCACATTAATACTATTAACCTATCACCAGAAAATCAATGTATTATGAGTATCAGATAATATATTGTTTACAATATTGAGAAATATGACGGTGTAATTGAAGCCAATTTACGAACTTTATCCGCAGAAATAATTTGCACGTGTATTTATCAAAGGAATGGTAATTAACTGGAGATAATTTCAAGCATTGAAATATGATGCTAACCATCAAATATATTTACTAGCTTACCCTTTGACACAATTTATTCATGACGAACTATATTTTTACTCTTAACAGCTGTTCTCCAAAAAGCATATTAAAATTCTACTTAAAAACATAAACACGAAAGCTAACAAGAAGTAACATACTTGTTTCAGTATACCACGATAAATCTTTGCTGCAAACTTGATAGGTAGTTTTAATTCACATTCTGTCAAATTTCGATAGAATGGTAGGATGTAACACTCAAGTTCCATTACTAGTGGATCTACTTGCGAAAAACATCCATCTGTTTCGAAATCACCATTATCTTGCTCTATTTTTCGACAAACTGGAGCAGTTAAACAGGACCTAATATTATTTTGACACCTATAAGTTTCTTTTTTTCGAGTATTCAACTTAAGTCTATCTCTCGGATGTTGCAAACTTGGTCCTCCTGGAAGTGAACGAAGAGGAATGGAGCTTAAATCAACCATACCAGGAGACTGTGACTGGTTTCTTACAGAACGGACAGGTAGAGTTACCGTCGCCTCGTTTTTGGGAGTGTTAAATAGAGAGCATTCATTGTCTTCACTAGCGATATAACAAGAATTAGAATTTGATAGAGCGATTGAACTGGAAGAGCATTCATTGATGCAACCATTGGATAAATATGATTCTAATCGCCCAGTGAATGAAGAACTTATATCTGATAGACCATTAGAGGCATCTTTGTTAACACTATCAGAGTCATCGTCCATAGAAGCGTTTACACTGTAATCCTTATTTGTAAGTAGTTCCATATTATTTTGAGGCTCCGGATCAACAAGCAAAGAAACTGAATCGATAATACGTCGAATCATAACCAAAGATGGTTTTTACAAATCATACTACAACCTAAAATCGAAAAGCACCCAAGTAAAATATTTACAGGCAATATCATACAAAATAAACGAGCATAGGTGAAAAAAATCGTAATTTTGAAGAGATACAGATTACGTTTTCATGTATCAGCTGGCGCAATACAATACGCCAATTTTATAGGATGAACTCTTCAGCAAGTCAATAAAGTTATTCCGTATGCCAGTAGGGATTTTGAAAGAATCTATCAATTCGATTGCACTACAGAAAACAAATCTAAGGACTTAACCGGAAAACACTCAAATATGGTTTAGCAGAAGTACATGCAAACCAAGAAGTAGCTTAGTCGAACTTCATTGAGTTGATGGTAACCAAACAGTTTTATAAGATTTAATTGATGTAAACTACAACATAAATATAAACTACACAGAACCTGGGAATAATGTGCATCAGTCTAAATTACAATCTTTATATCAGCAAAGTGAAAAACAAACGGTATTTCAATTCCATTGTATGTATTCGATGCAGTTTGACTTGAAGTATTTCCTTACTATCTGAATAAGCATAAACCTGTAAAGGGTGTTTATTTTCTGAGACAGTTACCAACAAGCTCCTTATGACTAACGAACCATGTTTTAGGACATCAGATGAGGGTGAAAGAACGGTAATTAGTCCCGATAATGTAATTTAGATGAACCAAATGTTTAGTAGGAATGACGTTGTCCTACGACTACTCTAACATCTCAAACCGGATAATTTCAGTGGTCCTGATGAAATCCATTCTTAAACTATGGGGGTTCTGGAAGAAATATCTGTCAAAACTTTAGTAAGTCTTTTTCCGCTTGCCAATCGGACTAAACTGGTTGGAACAATAAATCCTCAAGGTCCTATCATGTCAGGCAGATCGGTAAGACTAGAAGCAGCAAACCCAAGGTCTGAGGGCGAAGCCATACTGCTGACTGTACAGAGGTGTGACGGCAGTAGGATGTTTCCTTCGCACAACCAGCAAAACAGCGATGCTGCCTTCCCATAAGGAAGAGTGGGATTAGAAAAGGTCGACCCTAAAAATGCGTACCTCGCCTCATCTTACGGATATCCATCTCCGGCGGTAAGATTTCAACAAGTACGGAGCTAACACAAAAAGATTGTGTGTGACCGGACTCAAGCAGTTGTTCCTTGGGCACTGCGGTCACTCTAACACAATTCCCTTTTCAGGTACCTCTGGAAGGAGAATTTTTGATATGCCACTGGACCAGTCAAAATCACCGAGAGACCGGAAGGAAGAAGTAACCAGTCCGATCTACAAAACTCGAGGTAGACATTAAGTCGGCGAATATCATTTATCCAGCCTAGCTAATATAAAATTGTTCGAGCAGTTTTCTACGTCACATAAATAGGAACAATCATTTAGTCAGGAGAAAACACAATTTTAGAACAGCTCTTTCATGTTTGACTAGTCTCCTCATTGCAAGAGATAAGAATGCAATGAAAAATAGATATATTGGTATACGTAAGTTTTATAGATCTAAGTCAAGCTCTCTCTGGTATCGAAAACTAGTACGTTCTGATACGAATCATGAGGTTAGTCATTGGACTAACTTCCTATGTGAGAAGCGCAAACGAGTGAAAGCAGACTGTGTACTGCCACAATAGGAACTGGTGACAAGCGGGGTCCCCCAAATAATAACCCAAGAACCTCCTTTTGCTTTACAGAGATTATTTGTTTGGAGTTGCTAGGTAAACTATTCTGTTATTTGTGGATGACACGAAGATTTAAAGACCCGCAATACGGCTGATAAGGTCAAATTAGTCTTCAGTCTTCAATAATAAGAACAGGTCTATCGACTTATATTAATCCTTGCAGTTTGTAATACTGTGGAGGTCCAACCTCGTTTTGAATATATTAACAGAAGGTGCTGATATTGCGTGTTCCGGTAGAGAATTCCAGTAATTCACTACTCGGTGCGGGAAACGGAACTCCAGACGTAAACGGTTTGATCTCGGTTTTTGAACTTTCTTCGAATGTCCTCTCAAATGATCGGTTCTAGACGGAAGCAAAAGACAAGACATGTTAATACCAAGGTCATCGTTCAGTATACGATAGGCCAATATTATATCACCCCGTACTCTACGGTAAGATAACGGAAATAAGTTAAGGTGTCTCAGTCTGTCTTCATAAGATAGGCCAGATAGACCTTGTACCATCTTAGTACCTCGTTGTTGGACTCTTTCTAGCATATCTGCTTCATACTTGAAACAAGGATACGCTGCTTGAATCCCGTATTCTAAATGTGGTCGCACATAAATCGGGTATAGTAATCTAAACATTTCATCATCTAAATACTGGAAAGACCTACGAATTGACCATAATACCCTACAGCCTTTTGCAGCAGCAGCCTTACAGTGACTGGTGGTTTTGAAATCACTGCTTAATATGACTCTTAAATCTTTATAGTTTATTGCTTTGGGTAGCACGAATCCACGTAGTGTATAGTCATACGATTCATCATAGTTATTTAACTGCATCACCACACTCTTATTAGGATTTACTTCTAGTGACCACCTGTCTAACCATGCCACCAATCAGCTAAGATCGTCCTGTAATACTATTCTATCCGACATACTATGCATGGGTCTCCAAATCTTTATGTCATCAGCCAAGAGTAGAACGGATGATTTTGCTACAGTTGGCAATTCATTTACATAAAGTAAAAAGAGAAGAAACTCCGTCTGTAGCTCTTCTAGAGTTACTGCTGGTCCCAAGCCCGGGTAAAGGAGGAGGGTTGGGCATGGGGTTAGCGTCCCCATCCCGTAGAAAACTAACTCGCTAAAAAAACGCTTACCAGAAAAAATAATTCAAACCATTTAAACTCTGCCCTGAGAGTTAGAAGAATTATGACGCTTCATGGTGAAAGCCGAGTTCCTTCGGAAGCCACGAGGCCGATGCCCCTTCTAACAACCAGAGCAAAAATTTTTATAGGTACATGGAACGTTCGAACAATGTGGGAAACCGGGAAGACCAGTCAAATAGCAATGGAAATGAGGAGATACAACTTAGCAGTACTGGGAATCAGCGAAACCCACTGGACCCAAGCTGGACAGAAAAGGCTAGCTACGGGAGAGATGCTGCTATACTCCGGTCACGAAGAGGAAAATGCTCCACACACTCAGGGAGTCGCTCTTATGCTGTCCAAAGTAGCACGAAATGCACTTGTAGGATGGGAGTCTCACGGATCCAGAATCATCAAAGCATCATTCAAAACAAAGAAGGAGGGGATCTTAATGAATATTATCCAATGTTATGCACCCACCAATGATAGCAACGACGACATTAAAGATCAGTTCTACGAGCGGCTGCAGTCAATCATTGAGAAATGCCCAAGAAAGGACCTAACTATTCTGATGGGAGATCTAAATGCCAAAGTCGGAATAGACAACACCGGATATGAAGATATTATGGGACGACATGGACTGGGACAGAGAAACGAAAATGGAGAAAGATTTGCAAATTTGTGTGCATTCAACAAATTAGTCATAGGAGGCACAATATTTCCACACAAGCGTATACACAAGGCTACATGGATCTCACCGGACCACACTACAGAGAACCAAATAGATCATATTTGCATCAACAAAAAATTCCGAAGGACAATGGAAGATGTGAGAACCAGGAGAGGTGCTGACGTAGCTTCAGATCACCACCTAGTTGTAGCCAATTTAAAACTGAAGCTAAAAAAGAACTGGACAAGTGGACAAACAGCACTACAAAGGTTCAATACAGCCTTCCTTCGAGATACTGACAAACTCAATGAATTCAAGATAGCTCTCAACAACAGGTTCCAAGCCTTACAAGATCTACTGAAGGAAGAAGAAACTACTATGGAGGACAACTGGAAAGGCATCAAGGAAGCATTAACTTCAACGTGTCAAGAGGTTCTGGGCCTAAAGAAACACCATCATAAGGAATGGATCTCTATAGAAACACTGGACAAGATCAAAGAAAGGAAGAACAAGAAGGCAGCAATTAACAACAGCCGAACACGAGCAGAGAAAGTCCAAGCACAAGCTGAATACATAGAAGCAAACAAACAAGTGAAGAAGAGCATTAGAGCCGACAAGAAGAAATACGTGGAAGAACTAGCAACGACGGCAGAAAAAGCTGCTAGAGAAGGAAATATGAAACAGCTTCACGATACAACGAAGAAACTAGCAGGGAAATACAGTAAACCAGAGAGGCCGGTCAAAGACAAAGAAGGCAAGCCAATCACCGAAATTCAACAACAGCGGAACAGATGGGCAGGATACTTCGAGGAACTCCTGAATAGGCCGGCTCCAATGAATCCACCGGACATCGAAGCAGCACACATAGATCTTCCTATAGATGTCAATCCACCAACGACGGAAGAAATTAGAATGGCCGTCAGACAAATCAAGGGCGGGAAGGTAGCAGGACCCGACAATATACCAGCTGAAGCACTGAAGTTAGACATCGAAGTAACTACAAACATGCTTCACCTTCTATTCAAAAAGATTTGGGAGGAGGAACAAGTGCCAATGGACTGGAAAGAAGGACACCTCATCAAGATTCCCGAGAAAGGAAATGTGGGCAAATGTGAAAACTACAGAGGCATTACACTACGGTCAATACCAGGGAAAGTCTTCAACAGAGTTTTGCTGAACTGGATGAAGGATGCAGTAGACGCACAACTTCGAGATAAACAAGCTGGATTCCGTAAGGATCGGTCGTGCACAGACCAAATTGCGACACTACGGATCATCGTCGAACAATCAGTTGAGTGGAACTCATCACTATACATCAACTTCATTGATTATGAAAAGGCATTCGACAGTGTAGATAGGAGGACATTATGGAAACTTCTTCGACACTACGGAGTTCCTGAGAAGATTGTGAATATTATCCGGGACTCATATGATGGACTACAGTGCAAAGTCGTGGATGGAGGACAGCTGACAGATGCATTCCAAGTAAGGACCGGAGTGG